GTGAGGCTGGCAAATGCCGGAGGAAAGGGAAATCTAAGGAAAAGCACAAGCATACATATTTATTTTGGGATATTATGTAAATGTCAGCGTTAAATGAAGACTACACCCAAAATACTAGTTAAGGACCAGTTAGAATGTTCTTATTTATTTACTGCTAACATTCTAACCAGCTAGTTATTTATTATTAGAAAATTCAGAATTATGGACTAAATACTCATTTAAGCTGTTACACATCATTCTACTCATCGTACAATCCCTTACCAGATCTCACATTATACACTTAAAATGACTGAACGAGAGAACTACAGCTGCGTGGTCAGGTCTAAAGGATAAGAAAAAAAAAATCAGCATAACTTGTACACCACAGACATTTACCGTATAGTCAAGTGCCAGTTTAGGATTCTGGAGAAAATGGTATACATGGCCTTCTCATCAAATTCATTAATCGTTACTGTGTTAAAATGACGGAGGAAGCGAGGTGTCACTGGGTTTCTCCCACCACCTGGAAATTACAAAATGACAAAAAGACAAGGGGAAGTACATCAGACACACATTCCATTATGTTCAGCTATAGCGTTCATTCATAAAATTACCCAGTCCCCATGAGAAACAAAACCTTTTCAGGGACAATATAATGGCATGCAGTGCTTTGAATCCCATTTAAAAAACAAACGATCAAAAAAAAAACCTGGATGGCTCATAGTCTTTGATCATTTTGTTTATTCACATAGTGTGTGAAATAGCCAGACCCACCAGGAGGCCCCATGGCGCACATCAGCTGGATGTCCACCAGGTTGATCATGGAGCAGTCCTTCATGTCGTACCAGTTCCAGTGGTCCAGCCACTGGCGCAGAAGCTCCACAGGAGGCTGAGCACCGTACGTCTCCCTCGCAGGCATATTCACATCATCCACGAACACCACCTACACAGAAAACACCTTCAAGCTTTTCAAGCAACACACTTAAATCTTACAATAAAATAATATGCTTTAGCATTAATCTTATCCCAATGCTTGGACCACGCTACAAGATTTATACAATCTCAGACAGGATGGCAAATTTCACAGCTTTTTTTTTTTGTCTAGAATTGTCCTTCAGTCATCAAACCTTCCACACTACAGGTTTTGTGCAGAATAAAAGACTTTCAGGTTATGCTTATGAGTCAGAGTCCCCAGACCTGGAATCTCCTCCAAACACACACACATTCACTACAGGTGAGTCGCAAATAACAAACACGTTGGAACATGAAAAGATTGAAAATTGGATTTTACACACCCCACACAACAAGATGACCTGGGAAGATAATCATTCAAGAGCCTAAATTTGAGAAATCTTCTGCAATCACTGGGAGAAGAAGATCAAGATCAAAATCAAAATCAATTTGCACATCCTCTAGTGTGGCCCAGACTTAATTGGACTCTGGCGTGAGTACATAAGTAATAAGAAATAAATAATACTAGATACACAGCGAAATCTATAATAAAAAAATCTATAATATAAATATAACATAAAATATAATAATATTATATTAATAATATTAAACACAGGCTATTATAGCAGAAACACACAGATATTCATGCTTACTATGTCTTGCTACAATTTTTAAATGAAACCTGACAGAGAAAAGATTCAGAGAATTAGGAAAGCTTATTATAGAAGCTACCAGCTATTCAAATTAAAATAGAAGAAAAAAGTATTATAATATCATATTCTACGTAGAATGTATTATAATATCACACCATCTTCTTTCCCAGCGGGGGGCCAAACACTCCTTTGCGTCTCTTGTCCAGCTTGGACATGATGATGTTCTGAGTCTGAGCGGCTGTGGTTTGGGCTGAAAAGTTGATTAGCAGAGGACTGTACGTATCCTTGTTGAGCCGCTTCAACAGGAAGTCCTGTGGAGCAACAAAGAGTTTCAATCAATCTCACTGGAGGGGTTTAGACCACAAGTTCTGCAGATATATAGAGAAATGTCAACATGCTCATATTGTAGATTAGAGGAGGTAGACAAATAGCACCGTTGGCATCGTTATGGGGAATATTTGACATTAAAAGCCTACTTTTAAAAAGACTTTATAAAAGACTTTAGACTTTTAAAGTATAGTAATATGAAACAATTACAACTTTAAATACCATGAATGTCTACAGCTGGCATGGTATTTATATAAGTTCTTACATCTGGAATGGTTTTCTCTGCACAATTAGTAATAATGACACTTACATTTACCAACTGCCTCCATTTTTTGTGGGTCAGATAATTACCACCCAATAAGTGCAAATCTGTGCATCTCTGCATTGAAATGATAAAATCCTGCATTTACCAGAGCCTGAAACACTATGTAGTGAAATCACTTAACGGTTCCTGAAAGCGCCAAGCACCCTCATTTGACAAGTGACATGATTTCACATCCACTTTCTCAATGTGGCCATTAAAGTCATTTGCAGGCATTAAAAAATTCACCCTGAAAGTTAAATGTCGTCTGGGAGGTTTTTTTCTTCTCTTTGGTACTTTGGTACAGGGTACTTTCAAATATATTATTGAAAAGCCCTTGGTTCTGTGAATGAATGGACGAGAAAAGTGAAAAGGGAAAAGCAAAGAGAGAGTGAGACCGAGTGAGTGTCAGATGCTTAGTGTCTACTGATTCAGAAGGATGTAAACATAATCGTTGCAAAATGGCTGCTAAAAGTGTTATGACACTATGAATCATTCTCAGTCCTCGCCAGATGAGGACTGATCGCTTTCTTCTCAACCGCACCATAAAACACGTTCCGTTTCATTCTTCAGTGAAAAACTACCTCCAGACGTACTTTGCCCCTGCACTTGTAACCGTTAATCTATAGCGAACACAAGGGGGCTCGTACCGTGGCTGAGTGTGTGTGTATGCCTGTGTGCGTGTGTGTAAAATATGAGTGTAACGAGGCGGGTAATGGATGAGGCTGTTAGTGTGATGGATCTCCAGCTGGTTGCGCCAAAAATAGGAGCCGTTTTCCTCTCCTACTCTCGGCTAGAGGGATAGAACGAAGGAAAGGGGCGCGGCAGGGCGCCGTCGGTCTCGGCCCGCTGGCTCGTTTATCACAAGCCGCTGTCATGCACACACATGCAACACGCAGATACACGCTCTAGCTCCAGCAGTGATGAGGTACTGAGAGTGTGAGTGAGAAGCCCCCTTGGTGCTAAATGCATTCCCCAAATTTGTCTCCGGTGGACAAGATCCCGCAAGGAATTGTTTATTTCCGTCTGCCTTCAGCTGTTCCTCAGAGGCTGATTAAAAGCTTAAGTTTTTTTTTTTTTGAAGTAAAGAACTGATAGATTAGTGCCACACTGAAAAGTGAGCCATCTTTCCTATTTCTTATTCCACTAGCTTTAATAAAATTAGCATCGAGAAGACAGATGAAAGTGTTTAAATCAGTTTCAGAAGAGTTTTGCAGTGTTTACTGCGTGCCGTAAACCTCGTTCAGCTAATGAAGGGTTTCAGAATGAAGTGGTGAGTGGAATCAGGTGTGAATGAGTGTGATGAAGGTGCCACATACACATCTTTCAATTGCACACTTCAGAAAGCGCAACTAATTAACCGTGAAAAAACTGATTCACATTCTAAACTATTATAAGCATAATGGCCATAGTCTTCACCACCGTAGTATATTTTATTTTGTAGATATACTCTATAAATAGTATAAATAAATCTCTTTATATTAAATAGTATAAAAAGTCTTGTTAGGACTGATCTTGTTTTGTCTGGCTGTTTTCACTGTCCTTTGAGCTCTTTATTATTATCCAAGAATATAATAGATTTTTCCACTCACTATAATATACACGCTCTTGCCGGTTCCTGTGGGCCCCACAAAAATGGTGGGCTTCTGGTGCGTGACAAGCAGCTCCATCAGAGCCGTGTAGCGCACTGTATCCTCCGTCGGCACGATGATCTCATTGAACTGCATGTCTTTAGGGATCGGTGGAGCCTGCTTCAGCTCCTCGGTCCACAGCTCCCATCTGCCTGGACCCTGAGTCAAATCACAGAGTTGAACAAGCATTTATTTATTAATTAATTAATAACATGCACATTAGCATCTTTGCTGAACTTTATTTACAGTGCAGTCTTTATGGGATTGAACAGAAATGTAGTTATATGGCATCTGTGTATTGGGTTTAGAATAAAATAATGACGAATAGGTTGATTTTAAAGATATTTACTTCTCAAGTTATTGAACCTAGAAAAGGGGTAACAAACTCATTTTAAGTAATGGGCCACATTACAGCTCAATATCAAGTGGGCAGGACCAAAAGAAATTCAGTTTAGTAGACCAATAACACAACGACTCCTCTTAAATGTGTTCATTTATCAACATTTATCTACATTCATTCTGAACGCACAAACAAATTGAACATACGTATATATCACCTAGAATACAAATTTATATCCAGTGCCTTGCATAATTGTTCAACCTAGAATTGAAATGGACTTAATTGGTATTATATGTCATGAATCTACACAAACTATCCCATAATACTGAAGTGGGAGGAGAAAAGACCTATATAGTTAGCTTCTATAACTTGTTAATGAAGAACTATGTACACTATATTGCCAAAATTTTGTGGACACCTAACCATCACACCCATGTGTGCTTGTTGAACAAATTTAGTCCCCCTTTACTGTTATAATAACCTCTACTCTTCTGGGAAGGCTTTGAGGTCTTCCCAGAGGTCTTCAGTTCAGTGGGGTTGAGGTCAGGGCTGTGTGCAGGACACTCGAGTTCTTCCAGTCCAACCTTCACACACCATGTCTTCATGGAGCTCGCTTTGTCCACAGGAGCATTGTCATGCTGGAACAGGTTTCAGCCTCTTAGTTCCAGTGAAGGGAAATTGTAATACTACAGCATACAGAGACATTCTATACAATTGTGTGCTTCAAATGTTGTGGCAACAGTTTGGGGAAGAAACACATATGGGGGTAATGGTCAGGTGTTCACATACTTTTGGCCATATAGTGTATCTTTAGGCATGTGGCTAGCTCAGTCGGTAGAACATGAGACTCTTAATCTCAGGGTTGTGGGTTTGAGTCCCACATTGGGCCCAAACCCAGCCACTGGGGTTGCACGAGCTAGTGCACTCTCAGTGCTGGTCCCAAGCCCGGATAAAATGGGAAGGTTGCGTCAGGAAGGGTATCCGACATAAAACCTGTGCCTAGCTCTTTTTTCAAATCAATTAAGAACATAATTTTAATTTAGTACACAGATTCTATATTCATTTGGTGGGATGGATTATAACCTTTAGCCTGACATTTCTTTCCATATATATAGTTCCTGAAATTCAGTAGTTTTAAAGTAACTAGTCATAAATAAAATAGAAATCCATTTCAATCAAATCATCCATTCCTTCCTATCGTTTCTGCTGATACTCTGCCAGGCCTGTAATGGAGGCAATCTCAGTTCTTGTTCTTTTCAGAGTCTTTGTGTCTTCAGATGTGTCTTTAGTAAGTGAATGCAGCTCGTTGAGGTTCATGTGCGGTGATTAGCCAGTAAACTGGAAAATAGCAGTTCAGATGTTCCTGTTCACTTCAGAATCCATCCTGAAGTCATGGATTACAAACTCTAACATGTTTCACAGATGCTTGGATAATAAGCAGGATAATTATAACTATAATTGGATCATTTTAATTGGATGATGATTTTCCCTCTCCACAATTTTCTCATTTCATTACACTGATGAAGTTTAAAGTTTTTAGAACTCTACAGACTTTTTTAATGCATGCAGCAAATAGTGGCCTGGCTTGTCTGGACTTAGAGCATACAAGTGGTGTGTGTCTGATGGTCTAAGATGACGCTGATGCATTTTTCTCTTTATGGTAGCTTATTTAGATTTTGAATTCTGGAATCAGATTGGACTGAAGATGATTAATTTTGTGTAACAGCCGCTCTGACAGCGGTACCAGTCTCAAGGCCAATCCAGGTTCATATTAATGTGCTTGTTGTAATGTGTTATTGTTTCTATAATCAGTTACACAGGGATTTGTATGGTGGACGCTCCACCTGAATATGTTTTAAAAATCATGTAGTTGCTGATATTTAGTAGTTTTGTAATGAGTCTCCATTTCGGCACTTTGTAAAAGTCAGAAGTAAAGCAGAGGGCTTTGTGCTTCCAGTTTTTTTGGTAATATTACAAGCCGCATTTTTGTTATATTAACATCAAGAGAGAAAAAAGAGAGAACAGGAAGTGTAAGTTAAATGTAACAGCAAACTGCTGTGGTATAAGAGGAATAAAACACTGCTGTTATAATTAACTTTGGGGTGATACCAGCCCCACTGTTGATTATTTTACTATAACAGCATTTTATGTTGTGTTTTATTCCTTAAATGATCGATAGCTATTTCCTATAGCTTAGATTACCCTTTTTTTTTTCATCTTAGCAATGTATCACAGTTGATTTTGACACACAGCAGTCAACCGTTCAAAAAAAGGAGAGAACATGATATAACATGATATCTTATTCCAGATATAAAACAGATATTACTTTGAAATGAAGCTATCATTCTGCTTTCATCATTTAAATTTTAAATCCATAGGCTTGTGCCACTGTACAATGATTTCCAGACTGCACTGCATCTATAAGCTGTACTGCCCTGTCCGGAGTGACTGTTACTGTGTACCACACAGTGAGGAGTAATTAGTTTAATCTCACTTAGACCAAGTGACAATTAAACAAAAAAGGGAGCATTAACGGGAAGAATATATCAAAAGCTCTGAAACATATCTGATACTCTGAGGAAGAAGCTCCTTGCTACATCTGTCTGTCGAAACAAAGGATGAAGCCTGACAGAAACACTTATTTCCAGAATGTAATGAGGTATGAAATTGATGCATTTGGCCAAGTCATGCACGAAGCCTTATTAGTCAGAATTAAAGCTCACGACCGAAGCTAATTATGAGACAAATCTGCTCTTTATCACACTTTTACAAGAATGATTCAGAGATATACTTTTATAGCCAGGGTTTTTCAGCAGCAGCTTGCTACCTTATCGTGACAGAGAACAACTCTTCATAATGTTACTGTATGTACAAAATGGCCATTTAACCTCTAAAGACCCAGCTTCCTAGGGGTTAGTGTCCTTCTCCTGTCCAAACATGTGTTATGATGACACTTAGAGAAAAAAAAAAAGAGGCAAATTGGGAAGAAATTGTTCCCAATGTTTGTTCGGCTCTTAGAATGAAAATAAATTGAACTCGTCTTCAGCAGACCCCATTCAACTCGCTTCTCCTTTCATGTAAGTGCTGCTGACCTCTTTGATGAAGCGGTACTCATAGAGAGTGCCCGCAGCAGGTAAGGGCACTGTGAGCTGCTTGCTTGGTGCCTCTATGTGCTCCAGGATGCCATGGCTTGCCCGCGTCTCCTCAGTCAGGGCACCTGTTAGCAGCTCCCTCACCAGACCATCAAACTTCACTCTCCCAGGTTCTGTGCAGCTGGCTCCCACTGACCACACCAGAGAAAACACAAAAATACCCTAGCCGAGAGAGAGAGAGAGAACCAAGTCAGTTAGATAAGGGTTAGTTAAAGTGGAGTCTTCTTCCACTACCAGTAACTGCTGTTTATTTAACAGTTTATGAAAATACTAGGGATGTAAAAATGTGACGATGTGCATTGTGGAAATCAGCATTCAGTTAATTATGCATTTAATGCAATTGCAGAATTAGACACCAGAGGTCCCTAATCTGAGCAACCCATAGAGTTAAAATATATAGCGTGCGTTCTGGTCATATGATCACATTTTCATCGTGAATAGTCTGCACCATTACTGGGAATCATCTGCACTTGTGAAGTTACTGATAGCTCAGGATCACAACAACCAACATGCATTATAGGTTATATGGTTAGACAACCACATTATAACTATTAAAAAGAGCTCTCCAGTAGCTTTCAAACTAAACCATCCTTGCGCTGCTGCGATCTACAGTGCCTGAGCCGTGAAAGTTGGCATTTTGGCAGAATTTTGGAGATCTATTTCCAGTTAAAATGAAGCCTCAGCCACTGCTACGGAGCTCATTATGTTTCAAACAATCATTTTCCTCAGGTCAGAGACTTTGTTTATTCAAAGTGTCTTTGAATTTTGTAATTTTGGAGAGAATTCATAAATTTATTTATTTATTTTTTGAAATATGGTGAATCTGTAGTACTTTTTTTTTTTACAATATTAAACCTCTTTTCATAGCAATTTTTGATTTATTTAGTTTTATACAGACAAAAATACATATTGTTTTGCATTATTATTCAGAAATTAAAAAGGAGTCTTCTCAGTCATGAATTTTCTTCACTAAAATTTTGTTCAAATTATTCTGGGAATCGAATTAAACCGAATCGTGAAGCAAGTATCGTGAATAGAATTGAATCCTGACCGGAGTGTATCGTTACACCCCTAGAAAATACAGTTTTGCATTACATCAGTCTTCACTCATTTCAGTCAAAATAAAAAACACATTTAAGAATTAGTAACTGAGTCAATTTTAAGGTAGCAAGTAATGGTGTGTGAGAGCAGTAGAAGGGCAGCACAAAATAAAACATTCAAATTTCAAATTTTATATACAAGAACTTCTCAAACACTCATATTGCATTTGAACAGTGCATCACTGTAATAATGAATAAATCAGTAATATTTTATATCCATTTTGAGAAGTGATTTAGAGTCTAGGACCCTGTTGTATAGCCATAGGTCAGTGAAATATCATTTCAAGGGCACAATTTTATCTCTCATGTTACACGGTTTCGTGCATCTCTGTCGGAATATTCAGATAAAACAGGGCCAGCTGGTTTCAGTCAGATTGCTACTCCCACATAATATTTAGTATTTGTTGTTGAGGACATGGCACTCAAATTGCTGTGAGAAACAGACATGAGGAAAATAAGTAAAAAAAAAAATAAATAAAAAGTTGCTGTGAGAGTGATGTATTGTATTATTAAACTATTTACTTTCTGATTCAGATTATGATTGAAACAGTTACTAAGCTCTGAACTTAATCATAAAATATATAAAAAGTGCCAATGGCTGAATAAGAATAACAGTGCAACTTTAGTTTCTATCATCATTCTGTGTGACATCTTGCTGCCTCGGTATAGAGAGAATCTTGCATCATCAAAGCGATCATTGCCCTGCTGCCACAGGCTATAGCATCATACTTTTACCAGCACAATACAGCACAATACGTAATAACTAAAAATACATTTAGGCAATATATTATTACAAACTGTAATATCATTAAACTTTCATTTATCCATGGCCCACTGCTGACCTTCCTAACTCAATCAACTATTCTGAAATGTTCTGTCTAAACGGGATGATGGTGAAAAACAAGTACCACAGGCAATAAATAGAGAAAACCGTTTCAGCTCCACGTGTGATCACCTCTCTTTCACTTGAATTATATGTGGTCTTAAAAATATTTTATATAAACATTTATTATATATAAGTTTGTCTGTCTAGCTGTGTTGACTAGGAGGCAGTGGATAAACCAGGAGAGAGCTACAGAAGGTAAGACCCTGTCATGGGCTAATCAATAATGCTACACGTCTGGATCAATGTTGTTTCGTGCGCTGATATGATATGTTGGTCTTAAGAGGCCAGGTGGAAGAAAATTATCACACCTTCATAGAAAGAAAGAGAATCGAAAGACAGAAAGAATCAAACCGCCTGCAGGAGAAACAACTTCATAAGAATGCTAGACACGAGCTGCCGAGTACATTGTAAGCATTATATCTGGAAAAAAAAACGTGGCTCAGGTTACACATGATCAGTTACACACACGCACACAATCCTGGGAGTAACTGCGGTGCAAGTCTGACTGTCTGGCTCGGGAGTGAGTAGGAACGAATACCTGGAACAAAAAAAAAATCCAATCCTATTGGTAGTTGCCAAATCATTTCTCTTCTCATCTGCATTACTGCACCTTGTTCATTTTTGTTGTATGGCTCGTCCTGCCCACCTTGCAACGCCAAAACAACAAAATGGTACTCACTCTTTTTTTGGTGAGAGCTAGTGATGGGCTCCTCAGACAAGAAAATAATCACATAGCAGTGCCTTATTGTACAA